GGCTCCTTATCTTGGACATCCCAACCTCCAGAACTGTGAAAAATAAATGTTGTTTAAGCCAGTGGTCCCCAACCTTTTTGGCACCAGGGGCTGGTTTTATGGAAGACAGTATTTCCACAGACAGGTGGAGCGAGGCAATGGTTTTGGGATGAAACTGTTCCACCTCAGATCATCAGGCATTTGATTTTCATAAGGAGTACACAATCTAGATCTCTTGCTTGCAGTTCACAATAGGGTTTGCATTCCAATGAGAATCTAATGCTGCCACTGATCTGTCAGGAGGCAGAGCTCAGGCTGCTCGCTCACCCACTGCTCACCTCCTGCTGTGTGGCCTGGCTCTGAACAGATGTGTACCTGACCATGGCCCAGGGGGTTGGGGAACCCTGATTTAAGTCATCCAGTCTATGGTACTTTGTTATAGAAGCCCAAGCTAAAACAATTCAGTACTTTGAGATGTACTGTAAAAAGTACCTTTTCCTTAAATGACCTCCATGACCCATTAACAAATGAAAGCTGACCTTTATTTGGTCATTTCATAGGATATTCCAGAATGCTGTGATACTGAATATCCATGTGTCCCATCATTCTTGATTTTTTTTTTTTTTTTTTGAGACAAGGTCTTACTACATTGCCCAGGCTGGACTTGAACCCTCAAACTCCTGGGTTCAAGAGATCCTCCTGTCTTGGCCACCCAAAATGCTGAGATTGCAGGCATGAGCCACTGTGCCCTGGCAGGACTAGCTTTTTAAAGAGGCAACAGAGCCAGGCACAGTGGCTCACACCTATAATCCCAGCACTTTGGGAGGGTGAGGTGGGCGGATCACTTGAGCTGAGAAGTTTGAGACCAGCCTAGGCAACATGGTGAAACCCTGTCTCTACAAAAAATTACAAAATTTAGCTGGGTGTGGTGGCACAAACCTGTGGTCCCAGGTACTGGCAAGAGATGGGAGGATCGCTTGAGCCTGGGAGGCTGAGGCTGCAGTGGGCCAAGACAGCACCAATGCACTCCAGCCTAGGTGACAGTGAGAATCTGTGTCAATAAATAAATAAATAAAGCAACAGGTATCAAATATTCACAACAGAGATTTCTGCCTCTCAGCATGGGTGCAACTCCCATCCCACTCAGGATAACGGTGATGGCTGAGGTACTGAACATTGCTAAAAAACTGTGTGAAGGTAAAACAAAAGAGGTCTATCAATTGTTTGTTAAATAGGCCAGGAAAAGTCCTCCTGCAGTCTAAGGGCCAGATGACAGCAGGAAATGCAGTCAGAATCACCTGGAAGGAAAAGTTGCAACCTCAAATAAAATTACCAGTTGCATTTTTCTGTTGTTACAGGAAGCAGGTATTAAAACTGCTTTCACCAGAAAATGTGAGGAGACAGCTTTCATTGTGCCCCAGTGTGAAATAATTCCAACTGAATGGTTTGCAGAAGAATAGCAACTGGTTCTTTACTCAAAAGAAATCCTGGTGCCAAGAAAGGATATGAGTTTTACCCACCTAAAATGGAGATGTTTTTCAAGGATGATGCCAATCATGACCCACAGTGGTCTAGGGAACAGCTAACTGCAGCAAAATTTGGCTTTGCTGCACTTGGTATAAAACTGAAGTGGGTATCATGAGTCATGCCACATAGGTTGTTTTGAAATACTGGAGACATCCTGGTTGCCCCCTAGAACTGTACACTGGTTGATACGAAGAATGAATTTGGTGTTGATGTGACCAGCAAAGAAATTGTTCTCACTGATGTTATTGATAATGATTCCTAGAGACAGTGACCATCAGGAGATCAAAGCCAATACAGAAAGACAGTCTTTTAATCATCCTTTTAAAAATGTTGTTAAAAAAAAATAGAGACGGAGTCTTGCCATGTTGCCCAGGCTCAAGCAATCCTCCTGCCTTAGCCTCCCAAAGTGCTGGGATTACAGGCGTGAGCCATCACTTCTGGCCAAAAGATAAACAGTCGTATCAAGGCTTCAGTGTAACTCCTGAAGGGTTCCAAATGGTACAGAAAAACTTTGCATGGGTTGTAGAGATTACAGTTGCTTTTGAAATCAGAAAGTCAGTGCAGTGTTATAGTACTGATGGGTTCTACTTCTGACCTTAGTCACCATGAAAAAAATCAAGGCCTGTGGAAATTTTGGCATTCCATGTGGACTTCGAGTAACATCTGCACATAAAGGACCAGATGAAACTCTGAGGATTAAAGCTGAGTATGAAGGGGTAGCAGTCGTACTGTATTTGTGGCAGTGGCAGGCAGAAGCAATGGTTTGGGATCAGTGATGTTTGGGAACACTGCACATTCAGTTATCTGCTGTCCTCCCCTCACACCAGACTGAGGAGTTCAGGATATGTGGTTTCCTCTTCAACTACCCAGTGGTCTCGGCTGTTCAACCATACTTTCTCCAGAAGGATCAGCTCAGTTTGCTGCTCAGATCTTTGGATTAAACAATGACTTATTATGGGGCAAACTGCAAGCAAGCACTTTGAGCACATGGATTTCTTGGAAGAAAGGTGACAAGAAAATCACAGAAAGAACATCATTGCATTTTTTAGGGGGAAAACTACAAATTTCTAATTTAGCTGCAGAAAAATCAAGCAAGATGAAAAAATTTTAAATTAGAGAACACAAATAAAATGTACTAGTGAATACATGCTCCCCAAGATCCAAACAAAAACTATTCACGATGTAATTAAAACAGGTTAAGTGCTGTGAAAAATAGAAACATGGTGACATAGGAGGAGTCTGACAGGGGAACCTAACCGAGTCCTGAGAGTGTAAGTCAGCTTCCCCAAGGAAGTGACATTTCAAGCGAGATCTGAAGGACAGCAGTCTATAAACCAAGTAGAGAAAGGTAGTGCTGAGGGCAGAGGGCACCTACATGGGCAGAAGCTGGGAGCAAGATGAGTACAGCATGCCCCAAGTAATCAGGAAGTGCCAGTGGCTGGAGTGCAGAGACAGCAGTGCAGTTTTAGCTAGAGATGAGAGCAAGGGAGGCAAGGGCTGGATCATCCTGTCTCCTGTAGGCCACAGCAAGGTGTCTGGTCTTTAAGACAGAGGAAAGGCACTTATTGAAGTGACATTTTAAAAAATTACTGACGGCCGGGCATGGTGGCTCATGCCTGTAATCCCAGCACTTTGGGAGGCCAAGGCAGGTGGATCACTTGAGGTCAGGAGTGTGAGACCAGCCCGGCGCAAAAGCCTGTCTCCTGAAAAAATAAAAATTTAGCCGGGTGTGGTGGCGGATGCCTGCAATCCCAGCTACTCAGGAGGCTGAGGCAGGAGAACTGCTTGAACACAGGAGGTGGAGGTTGCAGTGAGCCGAGATTTCGCCACTGCACTCCAGCCTGGGCGACAGAGACCATCTTTAAAAAAAAAAAAAAAATTGACAATATGAAGAATAGATTGAAGGGAGATAAGAACTGAGATAAATCCTATTTTACCTTCAATTTCTACTTTAAAATCACATACAATCATTTGGAGAAAAAATTTCCTAGTTGGGAACGTCAGATAGATTTAAGGTAGCCAGGCGCGGTGGCTCATGCCTGTAATCCCAGCACTTTGGGAGGCCAAGGCAGGCAGATCACCTGAGGTCAGGAGTTCGAGACCAGCCAGACCAACATGGAGAAACCCAGTCTCTACTAAAAATATAAAATTAGCCAGGCATGGTGGCGCATGCCTGAAATCCCAGCTACTCAGGAGGCTGAGGCAGGAGAATCGCTTGAACCCAGGGGTCGGAGGTTGCAGTGAGCCAAGATCACGCCATTGCACTCCAGCCTGGTCAACAAGAGTGAAACCCCATCTCTAAATAAATAAGTAAATAAATAAATAAATAAATAAAAAGATTTAAGATGGAAGTCTCTTGGGGATTGGGAGAGCTCTGTAGCTAAGCAGAGATCCCCCAGGGCCGTTCCTGGTCACACCTACTCCTCACTCTGGAGGTCTAGAACTCTACAGTGGCTGCTAGAACTCTACAGAGGCTGCTACAGGTGGGTTAACAGATTTCACCAGATGTATGATGATTAAACACCCTTTTTATCAAATCTAAATTTACAAGTTCAGGATATTGCACTTTCTCTTTATGATGGATTTCCATCCAAAACAGGACTTTTAGAAGTGACTGCTCCTTTACCTTGCTGTCCTTATCAGGCAATCGCAACGATCTCTAAAGCCAGGAAACAACCTAAAACTTAACAAGCAAATTCACCATGTGGCTAAAGCTTCACACTCTCTTAACCAGCTCTGAAAGCAAAAGTAGGTATTAAAAAACAACCAACCAACCAAACAAACAAAAAACTGAAAAGGACAAACATCCAGACTATTTAACTTGGGAGTAAACATTACATGAGGGTACTCTATTACAACAGAAAGTACTGAGAAGCTAAACCAAGAAAGTTTAAACTCAGTAGGGAAGTTTATTATATGAGGAAGACCGTTAAGAAATAAAATGTGTGGCCGGGTACGGTGGCTCACGCCTGTAATCCCAGACCTTTGGGAGGCCAAGGTGGGCGGACTGCTTGAACCCAGGAGTTCAAGACCAGCCTGGGCAACATTCTGAAACCCCATCTCTACAAAAATTAGCTGGGTTTGGCGGCACGTGCCTGTAGTCCCAGCTACTCAGGATGCTGAGGTGGAAGGATCGCTGGAGCCCAGGAAGTCAAGGCTACAGTGAGCCATGATCGTGCAACTACACTCCAGCCTGGGCAACAGAAACCCTGTCAAAAAAAAAAAAAAAAAAAAAGCTTTGCAGTTAAACTACCTGGAAAAAAACTTACATGAAACCCTCTTGACCAAATAAGATGGATAGACAAAGGAATGTTTTACCTGCCACATTCCCAGGTTAAGTTGCTAAAAGTCAAGGTAGTGTGCTGTTTTCTCAATAAAAAGACTAACAGGTTAATATATTAATACCACAAAAAAGGAACGTGCTAGTATTAAGGAACTACTCAACCATAAAGAGAAGACCAAAAAGAGTGAAACAAACTTTGTTTGTTTAAAACAAAAACAAACTTTATTCCAAATTATCAAAAAAAAAATTGTTAACTCTGAAACATTTAACATATTTCATTTAAACTCATATGGTCATAAAACTCAAACTATCAAAAATAGCATTGTGCGCTTAACCACTTTCAGTAATGAACCTTCAAGAGGAAACATTTAGAGACTCCCACACAACACATATTTAATATTAAGCAAAGACAGCATTAAAAACTAAAACTCCTCAAATTTCAAGAGAATACCTGTTCAAGTTTTTGATATGCATTTGCACATGATAAAAGAAATACTTTAATTTAAAAGAAACCAAGTCTGAGTGCTTACCCTTTCTTCAAATGTAATCTCCTGTCCACCCTTCATTTTATGACTGCACACGCCTCACTCTACTTCATCTACACTGAAACAGTGTTAGTTCAACATGATTGGCTTCACTCGAAGCCCTCTAGATCCCATTTCATATATCCCATCGACCACCATTATTCCCTTACATGTTTGCACAGCCTTATACTGAGCATTACATTGTAACCAAGCTTGGGAATTTCAGGTATCCAAAGGTAATTATATACACACGATTCTGTTTTATTGCACAGTTCACAATATAGCCGGTGATTATACAGCCAACCATGTTAAGATGAATATCGACTATTTAGACAAAGACATCGATTTTGTCCCCAACCACAAATGAAACAAGAAAGACACATATATTCGTCACCATATCAAGGTTGTGTTTACTCTGTGGTGCAGTCCTGAGGGCTCATACCACTCTCAGTGTGTTCAATACAGAATCCATAACATTTCTGGTAGCATCACACATGAAGTATAGGACACAAGACCATAAGTGTCCTGTACTCATGAGCCATTTGTGCCACATACGTAACAGAAAGGCCACTTTTAAAGCTTTTCAGATATTCAATCATGTTTGTCTTTTCAATTTTTTTTTTTTTTTGAGACAGAGTCTTGCTCTGTCGTCCAGGCTGGAGTGCAGTGGTGCAATCTCGGCTCACTGCAACCTCCACCTCCCAGGTTCAAGCGATTCTCCTGCCTCAGCCTCCCGAGTAGCTGGGATCACAGGCGTGTGCCACCATACCCGGCTAATTTTTTGTATTTTTAGTAGAGATGGGGTTTCGCCGTGTTGGCCAGGCTGTTCTCAAACTCTTGACCTCAAGTGATCCACCCGCCTTGGCCTCCCAAAGTGCTGGGATTACAGGCATGGGCCACCACGCCTGGCCTGCCTTTTCAAAGTTGTTACCACACTAGTTCACACTGAAGGTAAAAGCAATAGTTAGAATCTCTTATTAACAATACATTTTGACTTCAAGTTCAAAGCTGTTGGTTACAAGTTCTGCTAAATTTTTTGTCAAATTTAAGAAGCCTATAGGACAACACAAAACCATCCCTGGTAATGTATTTGCAGTTTGGTCTTCAAAAGCTGTAAAGAGTGACAAAGAAATTTAAAAAAAAAAAAAAATACTGAGTTAAAACCATTAAAAATATTTATTAATAATTGTTTTTAAACGCCACTTATTTGAGACAGCAGAAACCAAAGCATTTTCCTTAGAATTCTCACTTTGCTTGTATTTCACAAAAGTGCTTTAGAACTCAGATTTCTACCACCTGTATGGAGTGTTAAGTCAAAAGGAAGCCCAACAAAACCAAAGGCCCAATGGTGTCTATTCCCAGGCTAACCCACCTGCCCTGGGCTGAGGAGCTGGACACACCTACTGACAGAGTCACACACATGAATGAGGGGGTCAGGCACCAAGGTGCCTTTATTTATTCATTTCTCAAACTCAATTCCCTTCAAATCCTGACTCTATTTAATAGGCCAAAGGACGCTACTCATATTTATTTGGTGCCAAATTATTATTTTTTTTAAATCCTTACATCTGCACCTTGAAAGCAAACTGCAATATCCAGCACAACATTATCAGACAGAGCTGCTGTAGAGCTATTTACCTTTATTACTGCCTGGCCAATGCTTAATACACTTCATCCTTTACAGCTGGAAGAAGGATGTTCACTGTATTTAACCAGCCATAGTGCATTTAGAGGTAAACAGCTTTTATGGACTATTTGCCCAGGAACTTTCAGTAAACTACCAAGTTGCAGCCCCGATTTTATTTTGGTCAGTATGTGCATATATTCACATGCAATTACCCAGAAAGAAGAAAAACTGGTTAACAAGAAACCTACCGTCATGTCAGAAGCTGGAAATCAATCTTTAGCTACATAATATTTACAGAAAGGGTTTTAAGATTCATAATCCACTTTTTCAGTCTGTCTCTTATATTTCATTAGTCAATTGGAAGTGGCATATGAGTTTCATCTGGAAAAAATATTTTCACATTTTCTAATTCCTTTGACAAAGTTTTCGTCTGTTAAGGGATGAGAATGCTATTTGGTTATTACCTACTTTTAGAATTCAAACTAACCCTTCGAATGTCTTTATTTAGATTGTATGCTCTCAAATTATCTTATTGTTTTACTGACACAATGGTAAAACGGGGTTCCCAAAGTGTCAAAACCCTAATGGAGTCTCTATTTCCAAGAGTAAAATAAAAGACGGCGAACACTGGGGCGGGGGGGGGGGGGGGTGGTTAAAACTATCCTGAGTCTTTTCCCCCCTCTGTAACATTTAGAAACTAGGGGGAAGTAAGTGGGATTCCATTAATAGACCTCCAAAACAAAACGTTATGGAAGCGTTTACTTTTTAAAAGGAGAGTTTTAAGAGAACAGGATGTTCGAATATGACCAACTCCTACTCAAGGGGAAAAATAACCACAGACCTTTGCTGAGATGGCACCAATAACTGAAAGGAACCAAGCTAAACAGAATTTGATCTATACACAAAATGAAAACTTGTTAACAGGATGGAACACCTATAACAAAATTTAAGTCCCTTCATCTTTTGGCAATGAAATAAGTGAAATTATAAGGACATTTTGGAAGGGTTGAAGGTCACAGTCAGAATCAAACAGAAAACTTCCAAACCTAGAAAGCAAAACGAGAACTTTCATAGCTCCTTGATCTACCATATCTAAACAGAGACAGTACAATGACTATCCAACAGGTGCTTAGTTTCAAAAATAATACAAGCAATTTATCATGAAAAGGCTATACCTAATAAGCTGTTTGTCTTCTCTGTTCTGCCCCTTTGTCATATGCTTGAGCCTAATGAAGAAGGTCCTCTGCAGCTGCTCCTGAGGGCAGAGAAGCAAGCAATGGAGTAACAAAGGAAGCTTGAGGAGCCCCTGGCCCCTGAGGACCTTCTCTCTGGCCAGTCACAGCCACTTATGTTTCAATGCAGGAGACTTCAAGGCCGGTTTGAGAAAAATAATCCTATCTTGGGGATTAGGTTCCCTGTCAAACGCCATCAGATGGACAGCTATTTTCCAGGCAATTAGCCTAAAGCTCTTAGGTAATGATAAAAAAAAAAAACCAAACCAAACAAAACAGAAAACAAAACAAAACAAAAAATTTTGTATTTTCCTACTGGAACCTTTTATTCTGTTTTGTTGATGCTGAAGGAAAACAGCTTTGCCCATAACTCACTGTGCCCTGGAGTCATGACACCAACTTGTATTCGGCCAATTAAGAAAGAGGTCAAACTGCATTCTTCTTAGAAGGTCTATTCAGTTGATAAATGGCACTTAACTGATGGTATTTTTCATATAACCTTTAACAAGAACTCATAAGTTGCATTGATTATGCCCCAAGAAATAAGGGACCGATGGTAATTCAGATGGGCACCTCTGAAAAGATTTATCAGTTTTCTGTCCCGTTCCAGCCAGATTTTTTGGAAAACCTTGGGGAAAGACTGAAATTCCCCACCAATCTGAGACTGTATGCGAGTTTTTACAACATTAATTGGAAAAAACAAGAATCCCAACATGGCACCCAATAGACCTCCACAGATAAAATCATTGACCAAATGAGCACTGTGAGTCGTCGCGGTAGGCAGATGCTCCTTAATGGGACCTCGAAGGCCAAAAAACAAGACATTGCTGAGTCCATTCCGGAAAAGAATGGGCACCAAGCCCCGATAATACTCTCCAATTCCATGACATTTCAGTGCCTTGAAAGCCTGATAAGTGTTGGTAAATTTGTCATGATGCTTGTGGTCTTGAAGCAATGTCTGAACTCTTTCCAGTGGAGTGAAAATTGCTTCTGTTGTCCCTGCAAGCACTGCCGCCACGCCACAGGTTGCAAACTCTGGAGCACTGACATGCTTGTGGAGAAGGCAGGATAAATCTTCATAGAGACCAAACATAAGTGCAAGTGTAGTTGTCTTCTGCATCAATGGGGGAAGGATTCCACGATACAAATTTCGAAATCCATCCCTTCTCAACTGAAGTATTGCATCCCGTGTTTTGATGCCATACAGCTGTTGTCGAAAGAGGACCTTCTGAATGGGAAATGTGATTGCGACATTGTTGAAGGCTGCACAGCAGCCACACAAGTAATGCTTCATCTCACCAACATTTGTAATATGAGGTGATATATCTTGTTTTGAAGATGTTAGTATTGGTGGCCTCTTTTCATGAGCTTCTGAATCCATCATGTTGCTTAAGATCTTTCTTTTTCATGAAGGACTTTTTTTAACCTACAAATAATAAATGACAACGGGTAAACCCGTTTTATAGAGAGCTAAACACATGGGATTTCTCCCTAATCCATCCTCTAATATCTGGACACCACACTTTCCTTTTCAGACTACATCGGGGATTCTTCACGCGTTCTCAGAAGACCCCTGGAAGTCCCTGAGATCCTTTTGGGAGTCCAGGAGGTTTTCCTTTTTCAAACTACATATCTATGTGAGGCTCGATTTTTTGCATATACTTTAATCAAAACGACTTATCACAACAGACTGCAGTAAACAGTAAACTCCATCTGTCTTTTAAATTAGACATGCAAGAGGCTTAGAAAACTGTAAAATATTTTCTAATGACTGTAAAATCATTAGAAAAAAATGGGAGGCATGAATGTTATTTTTCATGAAAATGTGTTAACATGTAATCATTACCTCAAATGATTAACATGTTTATCATTACCTCAAAAATCATATTTTAATTTTAAATTCCTAAAGACCCTGATATCAGTCCACATAAACAAAGGCTGTTTGGGGCCCACAATAATTTTTAAGAGTATAAAGGAGTCCTAACAGCAATAATTTTCAGAGCCACTAGACTAGTTCGTAATTACTGACTACACTATATAACGGTACCTATCGTCCTGCTGAAATAGGCACACATTCCTCCCATGAGAAGTAAAACAGCAAGACATACATTCATTCTATTAATATTTACACTTCTTTGGTACCTACTATGAGCTAGGTCCTCTGCTAAGTTGCTAGAGATTCAAAGATAAGGAACTCACAAACTAATAGAATGTGCCAACGTGGACAAGTACACCAATGTGACAGCTTCTATGATAACCAACCATTGCGGGAACACAGGTAAGGGACACTGAACATGCACCTTGGAAGGTGGAGGTGTGGGATGATGGGTGCAAGGAGGGCCTGCAGGTATGTACCATGCACTCTATTTTCATATATGAATTCTCAAAGCAACTCCATAAAGTATTATTTTTCCAGTTTTACAAATGAACAAAACCAGTATTCTCTTTTGTTCTGTTCAAGGCACAGCTAGTAACTGGTGGGGTCAGCATTCTGAAATGAAGTCTGACTGACTCCAGGGCTCATATCTCTGCTACCATATCACAGATGGCAATGACTTTGTGAGGCTGCCCTGAGATAAGAGGTAGCTATACTAGATACTGCTGAAAATGACAGGAACTAAGCCAAAGTTCCACCCCTATAAAACACCTCCTTCTGTAAAATGTACAATCTTTCCTTGCCAGTCATCTAAATCTGATTCCTCCTCCCTGAAAAAATCCAGATCCAAATAGTTGGGTCATACCGAACAATTCCCACCTTCCAGTGCTGATCTTGGAGATCACCTTTATTTGGGGGATAACATGACAATTGTATTATATCTTAGATATAATAGAAATATATACAAACTTCCATATATTAGAAATATATATATGAGGCTAAATATTTTTTAACTGGATTTTAATTCCTTAACAGTAAGAGACTGGCCAGGCGTGGTGGCTCATGCCTGTAATCCCAGCACTTTGGGAGGCTGGGGCGGGAGGACTGCTTGAATCAGGAGCTTGAGACCAGCGTGGGCAACATAGAGAGATCCCATGCCTCCAAAAAAGTTAAAAATTAGCTGGGCATGGTAGCACACGCCTGTAGCCCCAGCTATGTGGGATGCTGAGGTGGGAGGATCAGTTGAGCCAGGGAGGTCAAGGCTGTGGTGAGCCATGATTGCACCACTGCACTCTAGCCTGGGCAACAGAGCAAGACTCTTGTTTTTAAAAATAACAGTAATTTAAAAATTAAAAATAGTAGTCAGGCGCAGTGGCTCACACCTGTCATCCCAGCACTTTGGAAGACCAAGGCGGGAGGATTGCATGAGGCCACAAATTTGTGCCCAGCCTAGGCAACACGGTGAGACTCTGCCTCTACAAAAATCAAAATACATTCGCAGGGCATGGTGGCGTGCATCTGCAGTCCCAGCTACTGGGAAGGTGGAGGCAGAAGGACCTCTTGAGCCCAGGAAGTTGAGGCTGCAGTGAGCTGTGTTCATGTCACTGTGTTCCAGCCTGGGTGAAAGAGTAATATCTTGCTAACAAAAAAAAAGAACATACGATCCAACAATCCTACTATCCTACTTCTGGGGCTATAACCAAAATAATTGAAAGCGCAGCCTCAAAGACCTTGAACATCCACGTTCACAGAAGTACTATTCACAACAGCCACGAGGTGGAAGCAATCCAAACCATATTTAAGGGTTGCAATGGCAAATAATAAAAACAACAAAAAACTGTCTAGGTCTTTCACTTGGAACAAAAAATTGCCAAGTTCTTTATGTTTTTTTTCCTCCTCATACTACACACATGCTGTGGTGAACTGCTCAACATTCAGGATAAAAGATGTTAAGGAAAACCATGATCACTCTCAAAGTAAAAAGCACAGAGCTGAGGCACAGAAAGAATCAGAAAGCATTAGTTCCTAAGGGGCATGTATCTGCCGGAGCCACCGATGCATAACGAATATGGAACACATACACAACCATAATTTTCCTTCTAAGACGGCAGATTAAGAAAACAATTCACACAACATGTACACAAAGATTCAGCCATAAGATAGTCACAGCCAGGCTTTTAACAGCAAATACTGAACACAAATGCTCAACAGTAAAGGACACAATGTGTAAGTGAAGATGTATCCACAGGATGAGACATATAGTTATTAAAAATAAAGAAGTGTTTAAGGTTCAGTGTAGGATTAATTTTGAATTTTTAGTGGTATTTAGATGGAAAGTAAAAATTAAATAGTTATGTCAGGTACCTATGTCAGGGGAGATAAAACATGCAAATAATTAGACAACAGGGAGATAAATGAAATCATGTAAGGTATTAAGGCCCCGTAGAGCAGGAGGTCATTCATCAGCTGTCTGGAGGGAATGACAGGCAGAACATGACCCCTGGGCTCGACTCTGAAAGCTGAATAAGTGTCACTATGCACGTAAGGGTGAAGCACATTTTAGCCAGTGGAGCAGCACAGGCTAAGGCATAGGTGTTGGGCTAAAGGAGCACCGACACTGCATTCTTGGAGGTTACCTGTGTGTGCCTGCAGGGGCACAACGTAGGTGGAGAAGGATGGGTAGCTGATGAGGACAGAGAAGTAGGTTAGGACCCTCAGGAAAATCCCAAGACCCTCTGAACAATACTACATTATATATATATAATACTACATTATATATATATATATAATTTTTTTTTCTTTTTTTTGAGATAGTGTCTCACTTTGTTGCCCAGGCTGGAATGCAGTGGTGCAATCTTGGCTCACCTGCAGCCTCAACCTCCTGGGGTCAAGCAATCCTCCCATCTCAGCCCTCTGACTAGCTGGGACTACAGGCACATGCCACTACACCTGGTTAATTTTTTTTTTTTTTGAGATGGAGTCTCACTCTGTCACCCAGGCTGCAGTATAGTAGCAGAGTCTTGGCTCAATGCAACCTCTGCCTCCTGGGTTCAAGCGATTTTACTGCCTCAGCCTCCTGAGTAGCTGGGATTACAGGTGCGCACCACCCATGCCTGGCTAGTTTTTGTATTTTCAGTAGAGACGGAGTTTTGCCGTGTTGGCCAGGCTGGTCTCGAACTCCTTACGTCAGGTGATTCGCCTGCCTCGGCCTCCCAAAGTGCTAGGATTACAGGTGTGGGCCACAGCGCCCGGCCCAATTTTTGTATTTTTTGTAGAGATGGGGTTTCACCATGTTGCCCAGGCTGGTCTCGAGCTTCTGGGCTGAAGTGATTCAACCGCCTCAGCCTCTCAAGGTGCTGGGATTATAGGCGTAAGTCACTGTGCCCGGCCAAAATATTTTGCTTTCTCTTATGAAGCAGATGAAAGAAACTATTTTATTTAAGTATGTTACACTAAGATCTGTATGTCCTTTTCTAAGCATATAGACTATTATTAAGAAAATGTAGGTATCTGTACAATCTATGGCCTAATGCCTCTTTGGAGTTTGAGTTGCTTTGCTGTCATGTTTCTAAAGATGAACTCTTCTTAACTAAGAGCAAGTTAGGACTAGTATCACTGCAGGCCCAAAGTCTACCCTAAGGAAGGTAATATGAGGAGTCAGGAAACTTCTCCCCACTCAAAGAAAGTCACTTGGTTGTATCCAGAGAGCTGGGCAGTGTCAGAGCTCAAACCTTTCACAGTCCCTCCCTGATCAGGAGAGCCATACCACCTCTAAGGTTCAAAATATTTTGTTCAGTTGAAGAAACCTGCTCTGAAAATTTGTTTCACTGCCATTTTAACAGAGAGAAATTACTTCCAATTTTGCCAGTTACTAATGTGGTTAGATTATGAAGTCACCTGTATGCTCCATTGACAGATGCCAGATTCCTTGGAGTTGGGCTGTTTGTAGATCCAGTAACAACAACAACAACAACAATTTAAATAAAAATTCACAAAAGAAATGTGTATTACCTAAATGAATAGAGAAAAAAAGCTGGAAATCAATTAAACACACAGAAAGCCTCACCTCCAGGCTCACTGGCCTACTCGGGTCTCATCTCACCTGAACTAATGCCAGGGACTCTGCAGCAATCAGCTTGACTCTGTTCACCTTACCCACCCCTATTCCCTGCCCTCTTCCAACCTACTCATCATTTTCAAAAGAAACACACACACTACCAAGCGAAAAAAGTGAGGTGTGTAACAATGCATTTTGGAATCTAACATCAGCATAGAGATACCTCAGTGTTTAGAATGGTTGCACCGTACTCTGAAATGACTGCACTGCATACAATTTATTCTATCTCCTATTTATGGTTGCTTTTTTTTTATTATTATTTTTTATGGTTTTGTTTTATATTATTAAGGTTTGGAAAAGTCTGTGGACAATTCAGCTTGCCAAGTGTGTGAGTGGGTTTATAAAAGCCGTATGTTTTTAATTCCAAGACCTTCCAGAAGTGTCTAGAGGAAAGGTCTAATTAAACCTGCCCCCACTCACTTTTTCTTTTTTT